TTAAATGGCATTTTATTACTTAGTCGTCTTCGGCGTCTCATTCTACATCTTTTATATCCCATATGTCCCATACCTAACATTAATAGTTTAGGAGATAATTAGGCTTTTTTGAAAAATGCACACATATATGGTTATTTAGCCTAGTGTGCCATGAAAAACAAGCCTTCTCAATGAGTTCTTGTCAAAGACTCACTTGTTTACGTCACTTGATGCATGTGAGTTAATATTTATCTGTTATGTCCCTTAATATTAGTACTGAAAAGAGTTAAAATCGATAACAATAACGAAAGTAATATTTACACAAATCAAGAAATTCTTAATTTATTTTTTATGCATGANCAAAACAAAAGCGATGCGGTATTATCCAAGCTATTAAATGATGTTGTCAAAGTTATAGCTCATCGTCTAAGATTCTGAGATAGCGGCAACTTTATGTTTCTCAATGGCAGTTACGCCCCCTAGCGGTCGAATTACGAACTTCAAAATAATTTCCAGCTATTTCTCTTGGTCACTTTGCTTATAAGGATGTTTTTCCCAAAGCTCTAGGCCTTAACGTTCTAGAGATACAGCCGCTCCGTACGCTTAACCTGCATATTTCATAGCAAATATAACATTTATTGCTAATTATTATGATGAGTTAGTATAGGTAGAGATACAAGCTTATAGCGTAAAGTATCCTCTTTAGTGCTACAGATCATACCATATCACCATCACATGCCGAAATCAAAGAAATTAATTAAGATTAATCAGTGAAAAGAAAAATCAAATAGAAGTGTTATTCGTAACAAAGCATTAGTCGTCCATCAGCGTCACGTCCGTTTATAAAATATAACAGAGTTTATTACTACATATATCTACTTAACTTATAGTACATATATCCAATTCTTTAGTGTCATATCACGTTATAACTCACTATCTACCATTTATTTATTTTTATATGTAGTTTTAAAGAGCAACGTTTCAGTTTTAATTTAATATCATAATCGTTTCATAATTTGCATAATTAACGTTTCCACAATTTCATAATTTTTTTCTCTTTTTTAAATTCCTAATTGATTATTCTGTAATTTCGCCGAGTTATCGCTATATTTTCAGGAAAACACTTTCAAATAATATATTAACAAAAATTGAATAGCGTGCTTAACATATAATGCAGAACATCATAATGGAATAAAATTCGCTGAAATTTGGTTATTTATACCTATAAAATTCTTTATGGCTCTTAATTAAAACTGAAAAGTCAGAAATAAAGGTCTTTGTTCGAATATGCACTACATGTATTTCCTTGCTTCATCGACGAACCGCGTTTGTTCCCAATTTATGCATTTCTCTTTATTTCCTCTTTTTATTTTTTTTCCTTCGACGTCCTCTCACGTCGCGTCGGTATTCGACGCGTAACAATGCAGTCATCAGGCAGCAGCAGCAGCCATCAGCTCGAGTCTACAACGATAAGTTTGGCCCCGCAGCCGCCGTAGAGCCTCCTGCACATTGTGAAGGCCATGCACAATGAGCCACTTCACCGGTTCGCTACCTAAGGCGGACCGAGCACTCGAACCCCAAGCTGAATTGTGTGCAGTGCACGTAGCGCTCCTTATATTCGCAAACCCGCTACGGGGGGATTTTGTTTTTTCACCAACAACGCTACTACCAGCAGCAGCGGCAGCTTGGGGAACATTTTACATGCGTAATTGAAACGAGAATCGATTCTTTGTTATGCTATATTTTACATTTGTTTTATATTAATTTTTATCAATTTAATGCTGTAATTTGACGATCATCTCATTACATAAAGAATAAATGTAAAAAAAAACGTGACTTTGAATTAAAAACAAAAAATTAAGGATCAATTGAAATGACAATGAACTGGGACCGCGAGAAATCAAGATAACAACCGCCGGATTAAAAGAGGGTAAAATGGGGGTATGGGGGGAAGTTGGAGGGGAACGTAGTCGACAGTACAATATACACAGGGAGCAATTGGCAATTTGTCAGCAATTAAAACAAGACGTCATTAAATCAGCAGCGTCCGTGAGTTGGCCTTTGTTAGGTCACGTATGAACCCCCGAAGCAGACGAGTTCTCACCCCTTGGGGACTTCCCGGTCACGCTTCCGCCCCTACCAACTGCGGTGGCCACTTATTCCGACGTCCCCCCTCTCTATTCTCTGATTATCGCTTGTTTTTACTTCCTGTCTAAAATTTAGAAAGGTGTATAAAACATTTTTTTAATAAAAAAAAAACCTTATCACGTCTATAAGCACACAATAATTCGTTCTATTTCCATATGAATATATTCTGGAAAATATAATTCTACCCTCGTCCTAGAGCTTAACGTCAACAGCAGTGGAATCGCTGTCCAGGACAAGTGTGAAATCTAAACTCACCCCACAGTTTGGCTTTTAGGTCGATATATTCTATTTGGAAAGTTCGGTTAGAGCTTTCAAATAGTTAATTGAAAAATTCAATTAAACCCGCATATAGGAACAAAACTAAATTTATACAAAGAAAGGAGAGCGGAAAATTAAAATCCAACTATGGTACATTTGCAGATTTGACTGTCAGAATTGGAAGGGGTTGCCCATCCATATAGAGAGAAAGAGAATGATATTGACTTTGAGATTCGCAATAAAGCAGCTAAAACAGTTCCAAGTGCTCCGCAAATACGCGGTCCGGGGCCAACTTACCCCCTGGTTTATGCGTTTGGACCCCCAAGCGTACGAAACCACCCTTCTAAATGCAACCGCGTATTTATCATCAGTAAATTAATTCGTTGTGATACAATTTTATTTTCAGAAATCAATCAGATTTAGTGTTCAACTTCCTTTAAGAGAATTGTTATGAAGTAAAAACGTTTTATCATTAGAGGATCAATTTTACACAGCCAATTTACTTTCTATCGATATTTATTATACTTCCGTATGAACCTTTAAAAACTACACGAGATGATTATCGAAAAGCCGTTCTCCCGTTTACGCTCAAGTGGACGAAGGGATATAAAGTAGGGAAAAACGCCTTTTACGATGTACGACCGCATTATCTTTTATCCATTTTCGGACCGACAGCGTCTCTGAATTGGTGCATTGTAGCGTGTATCCTTTTAGGAAAGGTAATCGCGAATGACGGGCGGCGTGAAAATCCAGGTAAATAAAGTATACTGTAAAAGACGCCCATCTTATTATTTAAAAATAATAAGATATGATAAAACCCCTACACTTACATCGATATAGATATTGTTTTTATACACATATACCTATACAGTTATCGTATAACTCAATTTCCCGTAATTTAATCTTATGGGAAGCTGCGGGTCACGTTCGGCAGGGGAAAGAAGTTATTCTGTGGGCGGAAGGAATCACGGCATTCAAATTCACCCCTTTTCAAATCCCCCATCTTTTAAAGCGTCACTAGAATGCTATGAATACTATATTAAGAAATACGAAAAAAAAGTGGAAGAAAGGTGACGATAAAGTCAAAGTTATGTTGGACAAAAAATATTTTCTTGGAAAATATAATATACCCGTAAATATAGTATCTATGTTTATGGTAGTCATCTAAACATTTTTTTTTGAATATGAATAAACAATTAAAAAGATAAAATTGTTAAGGTAGTTCAAATTATTGTTTCTAACAAATGTTTGCGGAAGCATTGAATGGGATGCTGTTTTCATTATAACATTTTTATAATGAGCCAGAAAGAGCAAACATTCATGTCGATGGATGTATAGGGAATATGGGTTTGATTTATAATGAAATTAGAAGAGATTAATCTATGCGCTATTGTCTTCGAAATGCTGAAAATATGTTCAGTCAAAAGTTATATGGGTAATTGATAATGCCTTGTTATAATTCAATTGAAGAAGTTTTACAGAAAAATAAATTGAATGGGTCGATCCGTACGTACCGGTTTGAGGTTAGGTATAAAAAATTATCAATGGAATAAAATAGGTTCAACTCATTTTTTTACTAAATGGATATCATCTATATCTAACCTCAAAACATAACAAACCCCTTGCAATTCTATAACAGTGATTTAATAGTATATTATTATATGAGCATATAATGAGGGCTATTATTCACGAAGGTTAAGTTTATGTCACGAGCGTAGCGAGTGGCATAATTAACCTGAGTGAATAACAGCTCATTATATGCGAGTAGAATACTATACTTTGTCCACGACTATTGAAATTGATTCCATAAATTTATTTTTTAAATAAATTTTTGAATAAAGGATAAACGTCAATGTGACACAAATTCAATGTTACCAACTGTAACCAACTTCACAACAATTTGTCAAAATTAAATGTCAATTTTATGAAACGTCGTTTTCTTTATGAAAATTAATTCATTTATGCTTAAATCATACGAAAAAAAGAATTTGTTTAGGTTTTTTTAATGTCAAACATTTAGAAACTCCTAAAAAATTGAATTAAATTGACGTTTTTTGAACTTTTAACGTTTCAAATAATTATTAGTAGTCTGGTCAAGATGGCTACCCGTGGATAATGATTATTATTCACCACTATTATTCACTCCGTGAAAAATGACTACCATTTTGTTTTAGAAAACTCATTCATAAAGTATATATTATAAGGTAGTCGTGGACAAACGATGTTATGACGGTGTTGAACAGTGATTTAATCAAAAAACCTATGACCATAATGGAATTGAGATTTTTTTTTAAAATCCCGTCTACCTACAAATAGATTGTTGCTACACTGAGAGAAATGGATTGTACTATGCACTAAAAATATACTATAAGGTATAATGCGTTTACAACGAAAAGTGACAGCGAGACGAGATTGTATTCAGTACAATAAATACAATGAATTGCTGCTTGTATACAATGAATTGCTGCTTGTATACAATGAATTGCTGCTTGTATACAATGAATTGCTGCATGTATAATATTTTTTTCTATAATACGATTCGCACAATCTATTTCTCTCAGTGTAACATGTAATTTAAAGCTCATGGCGATGTCAATGGTGATGACATTTGAAGTAATCAAGTAGTATTTTATGAGTTGGTTTATTTTCAACTAATAATTGTTGCTATTGACTGCACTCTCAGAGTTTAATCACCAGGTAATGTATAGTTACTTGTTTTTTGGTTTTTGTAAAATGTGAAACATGTATTTATCTATTTTAGCTAAAGAGAATGCTGAATACTTTAGGATTAGAAAAGGTTATTTTTCTTTCTTTGTTCAATCTATTTCGGACGCAAGATTATGAATATTTGTGGACTACTTTGGCATATAATGGCATATCAAACTGTATTTAATTTTCATAGTTGTAAATAAACTGTTTTGTATCAGAAATTATTTGCTAACTCCTCTGGATGAACCGAAAACTAAGGCTAGATGGATTTAGAATAAAGCACAAATCAATATGTAGTACACAACATGTACATTAACATAAATGAAGTTTTACTACCCAAAAATGAAAAATTTTACGTCATTAATATTAAATGACTTGAAATGATAAATTGTTTTGGTAATTGGTAATAATAAAGTTTATTGTAATCAATAAAAAAATGTTAAAACATTTTAAAAACAACTGTTTATAAAAAATATAAACTTTCTTGTTCCTTTCGTAACATTTACGATACTAATCCATCCTTTTTTTAACGATTATAATATTATAAAATACAAACAGATCAATTTTTAGAGATACATAGTTTAGGCTTTAGTTTTCTCTATCTTGGTTCTTGCAAAACAATATTTAAATTTTTAGGCGTCCAAAAGGTCCATGTACTCTCCTTTTTCTGTAGCATCCGATTACGATGATACGTACCTCTGTCTGTGATTCGAATTCCATATGTACTTCTACAATAACCTATTCTTGTTTGCAGTTCCTCAGATTAATTGTCGTCAATTAACGAAAAGAATAATTACTAATTAATTTCATCTGGCTTAAAATTTTTCCCGCACAGCAGTTTTTTGGTTTGATATAATGTTAACTCAATCACAAGTTTGTGGCAATTAACCGCATTTGTTCGTCAGCACCAATAGATTTTATAAAATTCCCCTAGACATTTACGCTAACTAGTAGATAGCCTATCCTCTTGATAAATCAAAATGGTAAAAGTCGTTTTGGAGTTATCCTCTAGATTCAAGATAAACGTTATCCGGTAGGTACACTATCAACCACTTTATCTAGAGGTGGTAAAAGTGGGCCTGAGTATAATAAAAGACAAATAGATAGTTAATATAAAGAATATGTACAAATTTTTGTAAGGAATAACCAAAAATAATAAATAAAATTGTTCCTACCGGAAAAGAAAATAAAATTAGTTAAATTCAAATTTATTTTTATTGTATTTTCAATCTTATTATAAATGTTAATATTTTTGTTTTTAAAATTGAAGCGCACGTGTGACGCATTTTGTCTCACTTCTTTTCCGTCGTTATCACTCTTAATTGACAAGATTTCAATCTTTCGCTAGTCGCCGTATCGTCTGCATTGTGTGCCTTCAATTTCCACCACGCCACGTGTAATTTTCGCCGCATTCTTGTATGTACACTTTATTTTATTTACATTCTTTCGCTCATTCTTTATAATTTTCTTTATTAATTGCACGGTTTGCATTCATTGCAACCGCTTTCGTATTAAAGTTATATTTTTGATTTTATTAATAGAGTTTAATTATTATTTTTTTGAACCTTTTTCTTTTTTTTAACCGGCACCTCGCATTTTAGTTCGGCAAATTTTCTTTTTTTACGAACAAAAATAATAAATACCGTCAATCAGACGTCAAGACTCTTTTGAATATGGGTGTTATACATTATAGAATCCGAACCAAAAAACTACAAACAGGTGTTTAATTAAGAAACACACACTGAGAGAAATAGATTGTACGAATCGTATTATAGAACAAATATTATACATGCAGCAATTCATTGTATACATGCAACAATTCATTGTATTATATTCATTATATTTATTGTACTGAATACAATTTCGTCTCGCTGTCACTATTCGTAGTAAACGTATTATACCTTATAGTATATTTTTAGTGCATAGTACAATCCATTTCTTTCAGTGTATTTATACAAATTAAAATTAAACTGATAGAAAACACAAAATAAATAAGTTAAAAGTTGTTAAAACGTGTTAAGATAATTGTAAAAGGACGTGAACATGAACAGGTGGAGGACGAACTGACAAGAAAAAGCAAACGAGTGTATGTTAAAATGTCTTGTAGAAAGTATGATGATGGAAATGTATAAGTAAACTGTAGCATTTATATGAATTTATCTATCGCAAAAATACTCGATGGAAGATAGAGTTGCTCAACTGTGATGCTGTATTAAAAATTAGTTGTGCCAACCTGTCCGCATGATCTGAGATGTGAGTTTTTGCAACTAGGATTAAGGATGTTTTATTGCGTAGAGCATATGACTCTATTGAAGAATTGTCGAATGATTTACAGGCCTTTGAATGTGTTTAGTATAAGAACAGATTAACTTTTTTTCCCTGCCACTTATTATGACTGTGTATTTGTTTTTATGTAAATGTTACATGTAATATTTTATACATTATATTTTTCCCCTTGCTTGTAAATTTTATATTGAGGAATGTATGCCTTCGGGTTATTAGCATAATACAGATTATTATTATTATTATGATCGTGTCCCTTATTTCCGGTATGTCCTTTCCGTCACTTTATCGTGACGTTGTTATAAACATTAGCCTCCTAAAGTGATTGCCGACAAGACTACTCTAGCGATGAAGCCTCGATCGAAGCCTGCTAAGCGTCAGCATAGCCTGTCTGCGCTCAGTGCAGATTTCTGCCAAACAGGTTTCTGCTTCTCAGGTTTGGCGTTTCTGCCAAACTTTTTTGGAATCGATGATCACATCAGCTGCTATATTTATAGCAGTTATTTCAGTCTAAGCAGTCGTGCAGTACGACCCTAGCGAAATGGAAAGGTGTAACTGGAGATCTTGCAAGAAAATGCCCGATTCAGAGCCTCCAGCCTTCTTTGATCAGTATAGATGGTCAGCGATATACCCGCGCTCCGGGGTATCGTCTCAATGCCAAAGTGTGGCTAACTTAAGAAAGTAGGTGTGATGTAGTATGTGCGAGCTTCAAGGAGGGGTTGTTTACGAACAGCCTCCCTCTAACGTTTGCTCAGGACTTTTCTCATTATTAGAACCTGCTTATTATCTACTAATCGCAATCGAACAACGCCATCACGGCCATCTCCCTGATAAAAATATCTAGGGGCAGCAGCACGTTCAGCATGAGTAGGTCCAGCTCAGTAGGGCAGCGCGATCGTGGGTCTCATCGCAGAAGTCTAGATTAACACTGTAACCCTCGTATTTAATTCCCAAGTAATCCCATTTGCCCTTCGACACTGGTTGAGTGCAATCATTGCTTTTTTGGTTTTGCAACTAATGTGTGATTTCCAACTCAGTCCTTTGTCCAAGATAACAGCAAGATATTTCACCTCTGGAGCAAAGATTAATGGACTGTTGCAGAAGCAGTTGTGTTTGGTCAAGGTGATGGGCAGACTTAGAGTTACTATCCACTTTACCACTCGTAAACAAATAATGCTTATAACTGAGTAATACTATTTTTATACTTGAGAATGTATATCTGCGACGATCTCTACGACCGTTAGAAATGATTATACGGCCATAAAGTATGTTTTAATTAATCGAAATTATCGAGTTCTACTGTTTCTACAAAATAATTTTTGTTATCATTTTATTGAATATCTTCTATTATTTTGCTTGGCGCTATCAATCATTTCATTTTATTATAATTCATTATAAGTATGGGCTTCTCAATAACTGTTGCGAATCACTTTTTTCTTTCAATCTGGGACTCAACAATTCAGCTCCAATTAGATTATTAAGTTCAACCTAAGAGAAGCAAATCATGAACTTCTGAATGTACCGAGTCTGTAGACTATGGAGAGATGACTGAAAATTCAGTTGGAGGAGCTCTTAATAGAGGTTTTAATTTTTGAGGTTAAACCAACAGACATGGCAGAAACAACAGTAACAATCATCAGTTATAGGATTTCCAAATCGTAGTCTTCTATTCTTTGAGCCAGAATATAACAGAGGGGTATTCTGCAGGTTTCACTAGGATATAACGATGATCAGGTAAGGAAGGAAGAAATTCAACTCCAACGACAACCACTCACGAAAATAATTCAGCGATGATTGTGAAATGAAACGGTCAGTGTTAAACATTAGTATCTGTTTGAATAGGTTATAGAGTTGTTTGGTTTGTTAACAACAATCGTACGTGTTGCGTAGGCATTCAAGAGAGGGATGAATGTAATCGTTACCTAATTGTTAACGTTTATTTACCTTTTTATTTTAAATTCCCATTCATGCATCTATCATTTATTGAATTGTCACAAGTAAAAATTTTTAATATTACCAATGCAACCTTCCGTTCTTGTAGAATATGCAGCAATTAGAAAAAGAATTAGAACAAGAGTTTGTCGCCATCTATTAAAGAAAAATGCTATCATTGATAACTAAAATCAAAATATAATCAAATTTCAGTTAATTAATAGCGTGGATAAAAATTTTGATATTTGTCATAATTTAATAATTATTATAATATAATAAAAAGTTTGGTAAATTATTATGTTAATTTAGGTATAGAATTCTGTAATTATTCTAGATTCCTGCATTATCGTTAACGTCGAAATAATGGCAACATGCATGTTAAATATTACAAAATCTTTACAAAAACTCACCTTAAATTCCGCATTCAAACTAAAACCGACTTTTTTAAATGAAGTTAATCCAAGTAGAATACCTACAAATGAAATTTTATTCGGAACCCCCATTAGGGGCACCAACTTTTTTAACAAACGTAACATAACCTACAAATTAATCAAATTAAAAATAATGAAAAACTTTAAATTTCAGTACCCGCCGAAGCTTTATGGAAAGGCGTAACTTCAGTAAGTAATGCGGGAAAGAAACGAGGTCGTGGTAAAACGGTTTCAAAGAAAAACATGAAGAATTTAAATAAAGGTCAAATTATTGGTGTTGGAAAAGCTAACATTATATGGCCCGGATTGTCAGCACCTATTATAAGAGGTAAAGAATTAGTACAACAACAACAATTACCAGAAGATCCTGATCGTGAGAAGAAATTGATTGCGTTGCGTGATAATATGGGATCGTTAAAGTTACCCAAGTTAAGTCCGATTGAAAGAGGTTGGGTTGGAAATAAGATGGGTGGTAGAAGTCTTGGACCTCCCGATCCAATTGGAGATGGTACAACTTTTAATTTAATTATAATTAAATGTACAACTACTTAATGTGGAATATTTTAGATAAATTTGATGGATTTGATACTAGAGTTCTTGAATTCAAGACTGTATTTAATATGACTGGAAATTTAGGAAGAAAACGAAGATTGTCGGTATTTGCTGTTACAGGAAATGGCAATGGTTTAGCTGGATTTGCTACAGGAAAAGGTGTCGAGCCCAGAACTGCTTTTCGAAAAGCTAAAAATAGATCAGGACAAAAATTAATGAATATCAAAGTATTTGAGAACAGAACAGTTTATCACGATTTCTATTGTCAATTTGGAAAAACAAAAGTTTTTGTTTCTCAACGTCCGGAAGGGCACGGGGTGATAGCTCAAAGAGCAATAAAAACAATATGCCAAGTGGTTGGTATAAAAGATCTACACGCAAGAGTTGAGGGTTCTCATAATGTACAGCATATAGTCAAAGCATTTTTCTTAGGATTGTTACAACAAAAAGAACACACAGAGTTAGCAGAAGAAAAACAACTACATTTAGTTGAATTTTCCAAAGAAAGAAGTAATTTTCCTAAAGTTTTAGCCTCACCAACTAAAGCAAGAACTTCACAGGAAGTTAAAGGAGATGAAGTTATGGATTTTTCAATGTACTGTTTGGGTAATAGGGTGATTTTGAAAAAGAAAAAGTTCCCACCCTTTTATGTTAATTTTCCATCTTATAAAACGTATCAGAAGAAACAAGAAAAATTGAGGGGACAGGATAGAGTTCGTTTAAACATGTTAGCTGAATATGGTGAAATTAGAAGTTTCCTAAGTGAAAAATATCCAGAGTGTAGATCATGGAAGCAACCTCCTAAAGAGAAGTCAGAAGAAAGTGAGAATTAAAACGATATAAAAATGTATAAAATAAATAAAACAATGTTTTGAAAATGAAAATATTACTTTTTTTAATCAATAATAAATCAATGAACAAACTTTACCTTTTTAAAATCACAATCAACTTAGTTCTTAGAATCCAGAGGCCTGCATATATCCAACTACTCTAATAATAACAGGAATGGTACGTCTCTTTTTCAGTGGTAAAAGAAACAGGTATCCAGTTTCGAATACAGGTGTCCCTCAGAAGCGGCTCACCGCCATATTTTTTTTTAATTATTAGTGATATAAGAAAACCATTTGGAATGCATAATCAGGCCGTTAAAACGGATTATTACGACATGAAGTCGTTCTCTTTGTACTTCCGGTTATACCGGATGCGAGTACTAATTTCACTATTTTTTTAAATCTATAATTTTTTTTCAGTTGGGTATACAGCATAATTTCACATAACATTTACTTGAAAAAAATTTTCACGGTCGCTTATAATTTGCTACACTGCTATGCTTTAGTCAGTGGTTCTTTTTTAATAATGGTGTAAATGAACAGTTGTATTAAATTAGTTTTAAAAGAAAAACGCGATCAAACAAATAAGTTTAATTCCGACTAAATCGCAGCTGCACAGACCAAGTACTCGCACTAACTAGCTATGTGAAAACAGGCTTTCAAAAGCAACTAACAATATCTACTATCACTGAATTATTAGTTGTATACGATACCGTATGGCGACAAAGTCTAATATATAAATTAATGCTAGCTATTTCATTCGGAAGGTCACTCGTGTTATCAATGCTATGCTAAGCGTCTATCAGATGTTTCCAAGTCATCATGAGCGACAAGATTTGTATCCAAATGAAACTGAACAATGGTCTTCCACAAGTATCGATGCTGACTTCCGTGCTCTTCAATCTCTACGTAGCAGATATGTCCGTATCAACCACATCAAAAAAGTTCGGATACGTAGACGACTTGGTAAAATCTAACATATGACTTAGCTACCCTGGGACAGGGGAGTGGAAGCAACTATAGCGGGTTGGATCCGCAATATGCTAGATAGTAGAATAGTTTCTACTTCACTCCACGGTGATACGATACGCTTCAGGCCGGGAGGTGGCTGCCCGCAGGGAGGGGTGTTATCTCCCCTGCTTTGGTCCCTCCTAGTTGACGATCTGATTGCGATAGTCGAAGCCGTTGGTGTGGAAATACAAGCTTATGCTGATGACATTGTCGTTATGGTCAAAGGAACCTGTTTGCCGAGGATATCTAAAGTCCTCCAGGTGACCCTAGATACCATTTGCGCTTGGTGTAAGGGAGAGAACCTCTCAATAAACCCGCAAAAGACAATTGTTGTGCCCTTCACCAGGAAGCGAAAGTTGGATGGACTAATCCGCCCAACTATCCAAGGTGAAGAAATTCCTTTCTCAAAGGAAGTCAAATATCTAGGAGTAATCCTAGACAAAACCCTGTCATGGAATGGACATTTGCAGGGAGTTTTGCACAAAGCTAGACTATCCTTGTGGACTTGTCGCAGTCTTTGTGGAAAAAATTGGGGTCTTACCCCTGAAAGACTGTACTGGCTCTATGTGACTGTGGTTAGACCTATGATCACATACGGAGCAGCAGCCTGGTATAGGAAAGTCCGACAGACTTCAGTTATCAGTAAACTTTCACGAATTCAACGAGTAGCTGGATTGGCAATCTCTGGTGCGATAGGCACAACGCCAACTCTAGCAATGGAGGTTCTGCTTGGCCTATCTCCTCTGCATTTGCATATAGAGAAAGTGGCTAGAACAACCATTTACAGATTTAAGCAATATGCTCAAAACTGTTCCGACATGTCCTACCAATGGGCTGCGGAAGACATTATAAGCACTGATACTGTGCTATCAATGCCGTCAGATTTGGCGGTATCACTATCAGTGATTAATGCTCGATACCAGATTGTACTGCCTGAGCGGCAGTCCTGGATCGAAAATGAAAATTCTCTGGTTCGGGCAGACATTTGCTTGTACACAGATGGATCAAAAACGCCTGAAGGGGTAGGAGCAGGAGTATACTGCCAGACACCTCGAATTAAGCAAGCCTACAGCCTGGGTACGTACTGTACTGTATTCCAGGCGGAAGTATTTGCTATTGACATGGGTGCTAAAATCCTTCTTGAAAGAGGGGTGAAGAACATGACAGTACGAATTTTCTCAGACAGTCAAGCCGCTCTCCAGGCGCTGCAAGCCGTGAAAACGGTGTCGGCTCTGGTTAATGATTGTAAGAGAACATTAAACACACTGAGTTGTGATAACAGAGTCTCTCTGATCTGGGTCCCGGGTCACTCTGGGGTTGCTGGCAATGAAGCGGCAGATAAGCTAGCACGAGATGGCAGCGCTGAAGCGTTTGTGGGACCGGAACCAGCAGTTGGTGTATCATTTGCGATGGCCAAATATAGGATTGGACTGTGGGCTGAAGAGAGACTTCGCCTACTGTGGACCAGTTCTCCTGGAATGAGACATGCTAAGGTGTTTATTAACATCGCCACTGTCAAACCCGGGAATATTTTAGGACTTGCCCGTAGTAGCATAAAAGTTCTAATGGGTGTTTTTACTGGGCACTGCCGATTAAAAGCACACCTCAACTTGTTGGGTTTAGCCGACGATGTTGAATGCCGACTATGTGCGGAGGAAGCAGAGACGGTTGAGCATGTTTTATGCCACTGCCCTGCCGTTAACCGTATCAGATTCTCGATTTTTGGGTCGCAGTTTATCTCCTCAAAAGATCTGAATGACCTTTCGCCGAGCAAGGTATTAATGTTCGTTAAGAGCATTGGACTGCACGGTGAAATTTGATAACGATATCTATCGGGGTACAATAGATCCTTAGGGTCGCGGTGCAAGGTTGGTTGGTCCGCCTACCCGATATGTATTCTATATAATGTAATGTAATGTAGCTACCAAAATACCTAGGTGTCACTCTCGGCGGAACTCTAAGCTTTCAAAAACATCTTACAAAGACAACTTAGAATCCGAAATAACATCCTGCAAAGGCTGAGCGGCACCGCACTTCAAATCGAAAATAACTTCAACATTAACAATTGAGCGCTGCAGAGAAGACTGTGGCGCCTGTCAACCGAAGAGTATGCCATGAGTTACAAGCAAGTCAGAGGGTTTCGATCAACCAAGATGAATTTGGGTAACACTCAACATAATAAGGATGAACTGCGGGAAATGTACCGATTTACTCTCTCCAGATGGGGAAACATATCCTTACTAAATTACGGTTGTGGCGCTGAAAGATAAACTTTTAAAGACCTGATGGATCGTATTTACATATTTGTACTTTCGATGTTTGTTTGTAGGGCTTCTTATTTATTATTCAGCTATTCGAACTCCCAAAGAGATATCACAAGAAAGTGAGAATTAAAATAAATAAATAAAACAACATTTTGAAAACGAAAATATTACTTTTTTTTAATCACATCTGAATGATAAATCAGTGAACAAACTTTACTTTTACAAAATCACAATCTAAAACAATCTAGTTTATATATTTATATATCGACACGTTTCACAATAAGTATAAAATTGTCTGGATTCCGCAAGTTAAGTTTTGCTGAAAAACGACAAAGTCTCTGTACAAGTTTTGGTCGCGATACGCAACAATCCAAATGAAAAAGCATTCAATATTGTTATTCAACGAAAAAGGATAACATTCATCAAATTTGAGAAAAGCTATAAAGAAAAAGAGAAGTACACGTAAAGTGAGCGATCACAACATTTGGTGTTTTGTTTTAAATATTATTACAAAATAACTGGCATAACTAATGACTGTATAAACAACCATAAATAAATAAATACGTAATAAGGAAAAAGGCGCGATTAACTTTTAACAGATATGCTAAGAAAAATCAAACGTAAATAAGGCGGAATAACTAGTAAATAAAAAAAATGGAAATTTTTTTATTTAACATATAGTTAAAAAACTATTAAAATAAATGCAGTTGTAATAAAATTTATATCACTCGCACATATCGTTCACCATCTTTTCCATGTCTATGTCGTTATCGATATCCTGATGTTCATTTGTTGTACATCCGTTCACATTCTTTTCCACTTCCATTGTCGTATTAGCGGCGGTATTGTTTCCACTGGCAATACTGGCTGGAGGAGTCAATTTTAATAATTTTTCTTTTAATTGTTGATAAACTTTTTTGAAATTTTCTATACTAGAAAATGATGATCGTTTATTCGTCGACCTACTCGTCCGTTTTTCACTAATATCAGTTTCTAAATCCTTAATCCAATTCTCAACCTGTTCCATGATTTCTTCGCGTTTCAAATAAAAGTGTGTGTTTATTATATCTTTAAAGCACGGACACGGATTAACGATTTGCTCCAACATTGCCCACCTAACTGTCGCCTGGCATACGTTTGCATTGTACTCTTTCGAACTTTGCGTTCCCGACGGTGTTCCCCTGGACCGTTCATAACCGGGTTCGTTGAAATACGGTTCAGGTACTAAAATTAAACTTTGAATCGATACTAACACTTGCAAAAAGCTCGACGTTTGCGGATTCCACTTTTCTTCGGGCCTACCGTGCCATGTATTCAAAACGGAGAGGCAAACTTTACCGTCATTGTACAAATTCGGGTTAAATCGAACGGTGTGGTGACCGGTCGTTTCTAAATTGATCATCATCGGGGCTTGAGGATAATCCGGTGGAAAGAATACGTCTAATTCAAAGCAACCGTTCGCGTACGGCGTTTCCGCCGGCCCAGTTATTAACACTTTCATTATATCTAAACGGTCGGTATCGCAACGTACGAATACTGAACTGCTACAACTTAAAGGTAGACTAGTCACTAAGGTTACTGTCTCTTGAGCTAATCGCTTTACTCTCGCTGGACTTGATTGATCGCCGGCGGATCGAGCATTATTCTCGAAATGATGTGATATAACGAATTTGTAACCACCTTCTGGAAGTTCTTGAATCATTTCGTAAGTATCTAAATAAAAAAAATTTATTATGTAATATTTTAAGCCATAACAAATAATTTAATTATTAACAAAGTTGAATAGAGTCACGAAAGTTTTCGAAACCCTACAACATTTAACCCCTTATCGCTCTTTGTGCTAAATATAAATAAATTTTCTCAATCCAGAGAAGTATAAAAAAAAATCTTATCACTGATTGAATTGGTGAAAAAATTACAAAATTCATGACTCGACAGCAAGTGAACCAAGAACGACAGGAATGCATATAGATACAAACTGAAGAATTGGCAACCTTTTTTAATATCTGGTTTATTAATGTTCATGGTCCAACAGAAAACAAGGATAAACTAATTAAGAATGAATTTTACAATCAACTTGAAGCAACTTATGATTCGTTACGATAAAATGATACCAACATCATATTAGGAGACTTCAACGAGGTCGGGAAGGAGGAGACGCATAGAGGAAGGGCAACTGGAGGGTACAGTCTTCGCGACAACAATGACCAACGTCTGATCGACTTCGCTTGCAGTAGGAATATCGTGGTGCGCTCAACGCGCATCGACAACAGAACTTGAGCGTTACCCAAAGAATAAACCTTTAACCAAATAGACTATATGTGTTGAAATAGACTATGTTCTTGTAGACAAAAGGGCAGCCTCCAGCATGATGGATGTAAAAACCTACAGAGGTGCTGACTGCGACTTTGACTAACTCTGGGCACTTGTAAAAAGAAGAAAGGAAATATCTCTATGAGGAACTGAGTAAGAATGATGAAGATTTTAAAACCAGCATCCGAAAACAGCTTACGCCCTAGTTAACAGCATTACGTGCCTAATATACAAAAAGTCTTACAAAGTTTTTTTAAATAGACATATAACAGTATTAATAGAACGATACTGTACAATTATTGGAAATACCTGCGAAACTAGTCCGATTAACAAGGCTTACAATGACGAACTTGATCTTCCAAGCAAGGATCCAGATTTTACACCAAGCTTCTAAACGCTCTCCAAGATGAAGCAGAGAGATGATCTTGCACCTACAATTTTTAACCTGGTTTTGGAGAGCTTCATAAGAAAACTCCCAATTCATACCAAAAGGACGCTACTTTTTAAGTCATAAATACATAAACATAATGACGCCATCACACCAAGCCTTAACTAAACTCGATATGGCAACACGATAGGTAGTCATGGTGCAATCACAGAGAAACGTGCCAATCGGACTCGACCAACCTCTCTGGGGACCGCAATTAAGTCAACGATACTTTCAATTATCAAATGTAAAGACGTCCACAGAGAAGAAGCTGCGAATCTACAAGACTATAGTCAAACACTCCTGCTCTGCTATGGCAGTGAAACGTGGACGTTGTTCCTGACATCCGAAGAAATGATCCTGAAATGAATCCTGGTGAATCCGATACAATCGGGAACTCCATAGCATCTTTGGAGACTCAGAGGTCGCCACTATCAACAAACTTCGATGGCTATAGTGGGCCGCTGGCCATGTGTGGCGAATGGTTGAAGGGAGAATATCCAGACATGTTTAAGGAGAAAGGGTGGAGAACAGGAAGCCACTCGAAAAGCTGAGAAAACGCTAGGAGAATATAGTCGTTGAGGATAGCAAGTCGCTCCTGAAATTTGCGACGTTGAGAACGCGATCGCTAGACTGGACGGATTGGAAACTGCCCGTGACTTGCACTACGGAAGGCTAAGACTAGACTCGGTCTGTAGCGCAATTAACTGGAATTTTATTGATTTGAAGAAACCCTACGACAACGTACCAATAAGAAAGATGATTGCATATCTTCATGGCAATCGGTGTCAGGTCTTACCTCATGAAAATCATTCAAGATGTATGATGATAATATCTATATTAAACAGAGAAAGAAGTTATCAGATGCGAATTCATCCTAGTAACGAGTTAAGACAGGGGTATAACTTATCACCAATTATGTTTAATCTTTATGTAGACGCAATAAAAGAGTGGAATAGATCATACCAAAGTATGGGCGTTCCGACTTAAAACACACATTTGTGCACATTGAACTGACGACCAAGCAATAGCACAAGACGCATATGACCTGAAGTTTATGTTGAAAAGACTGCATATACACTACCAAAATAGGTGTACCTATTGTATGTTTTTCATATTTGGTACGAGAATAAATATGCATTTTTAGACAATTATTATTATGATATTTTTTACTACTTTTCTGGAGTTCTAATAACGTTACATAACAACGGAGGGTAAGGGGTTAAGATAGATTACTAGCGAGATGACCAATAAGGGCTTGGGTGACATTTTCACCCAAGCCTACTGTAACGTTCAAGAATTTTAACATTTCGAGTTGCATATTCAGGCAGAACTGGATAAAAACGAACATTAAAAGATCCAGCGTTCTGCTGAGAAAAGAAGAAAAGACAATAGTAGCCAAGGAACTAGAGCAAAGTGCATCGATGAAATAACGAGGAGAATTTATCCTTGTATGGACACCCGTTTATTTAGAAAATGCCTAAAACTTATACCCCGTATTACTGTCCATACAATCTAGAGCGCAAGCCTAGGTGTACAGGGTGGTTCAAATTCGATGTCCGAATAGGCTAACTCGAAAACTATAAGAGTTAGAAGAAAAGCAATTGACATGTCATGATCTCGTTTTTCGAGAAACTGCTAATGCCGAAAACCTCATAGCGCTATCGTCTTTTGTTTTTCCGCTAGAGGCCAGAATTTTAAATATCGTAAAACCCGCAAATGTAATTATCTTGGTTATTATTATAGGTAGAGTATTAAATAAACTTTTTTTAGTGTCGTCAAAGAAATTAAATTTACAGTTTCCTGTAAATTACGGTACTATAACTAAAAATTAAAAAAAC